CGTCCCCAGAAAGCACGAAGGAGCTGCCCTCGTTCTGCGCCGGTGCAATGAATCTCATAGGCATCTGCCAGAGTTGCCGATGCATATGCGTGATGTAAAAGTCTCGGAACCTCAGGTGCCAATGAGGGTAAAATGAGCGCGCGAGATGGCGGGCTAATGGGTCGATAGTAAATGACCACCCCATTAGATCGGCAACAGACGCACCAATATCTTATGAGTTTTGAGACAAGGAACTAAACGCCTTAGTCAGGGCAAGAAACATTAGCTATGATAGCGACTAACCTTGGAGTATTTCCCCTGGACCAGCTGTAGATAATTGCCTTCAAGTTCCTTAGCAACTTCCAGACGCTCAGCAGGCGTTCCATATTTGATGATCTGGCCCACGCTGAGTTGGAACAAAAAGACGGACGATTGTACTCACAGTTTGAATAATCCTACTAGCATCGTGCTTCAAGACGAGATCTAACACATGCCCTCTTACAAGGTCCATCAATTCCTTGATTTTTGCCCTTCGCTCTTCCTTGTTGCCGTCACGTTTAGCACCCGTGCCCTTGTTTTTGTGCTCCCGGTCCTTTTGGCGCGCTTGCGCCCATATTCTTTTAGCCTCAGAGAGTAGAGTAGCGTGTGGTTTGGCCGCGCGACGAGATGCAAGAAGAGCGCGCTGAGCCGCATGAGATTCATGGTTGGCTGCGCATATGAGGACACGGCGTAAAAACCATATGATTAAGCATACCGTTGGGATCTTTCATTGGGACATCACCATCCTTTTCTTCCACCTCCATCTCGTCAACATCTTTGGGAGCAACGTCGTCCTCGTCCTCGTCCAACTCGCTGGCACCATCGTCCTCCGAATCAGGCTCCTCGGGTTCTACATCCTCAGTGACCGGTACGGCTCTTTTCTTTCCTTTTGTATCCCCCACTGAAACAGAGTTCTTCTGTCGGTTAGTTTCTCCCTTAGCATGGCCTTGCAGTTTTTTTCCAGGGGAGGCGTGTTTTTTAGGATTAGTCCTATTCTTGTCAGACCGAATGTTGGCCTTTTTGGCTGCAGGTCCGTCCTGGGACGAAGCTGCTCGTTTTTTTGAGTTTTGGACGGACATTTCGATCAGCAAAAAAGCAGACTCAGTATTCAAACGGCGCCCAATCACGTGACCCACGTTCAACCATCCATCGGTCTTTTGACGGCAGTCGGACGAAGTAACTCTGACTCGTGAGTCGACTAATTCAACAAATCCATGCTAAAGATCGCGAAAATGGATCCAGTAAAGTAACTCGGCACTCAAATTAATGTAAGGTCGTACACCGCTAATGTATGATTACAATAGAAGGATACGATTCTAGTATACTGTGCCTGTTCATCTCGATGGGAGACTTGCATAACTTGAACTCAATTAAATGTATGCATATAATAAATACCTTCAAGTCTTCCACTATCATATCTGATTCCTACTCCCTACACAATCAAGAGCATGAGAACATCAGAAAAGCATATGTTTCCATGTTAGCGAGAGCTTGGAGAACTTTAGAAAATATAATATGACAAACGAAGGCCAGATTTCGTCGTCGTATCATGATTTCATTTTCATTGTTTCGTGATGCGAGTCCATAGTGAAACTTGAAGGGTGTGGATTATTGCCTGCCAAGGAGAAGAAAAGCAGAAGAACGCACGCTTCGGACCTCCACCCAATCCCTTCCGCAGCGATCTCCGCATCTTTCTCTGCCTGTCTTCGAGCCCAGCCCCTCTTATGCCTCTGCCCTGGCAACAGCGCGGAGTCTCGTTTCGGAACCACCCTGAATGCACTGTCTCGTTTCCGTCTCGAGATATGTGTAGCTTGTGTGTGCCAAAACTATAAAAAAAATCAGCATCCGATCAAAAAAGAAAACACCTGCGGTCGCGAACCTGCTTGAGTAATGTGCGCTTGGAGATGCTTTCCGAGGACTTGGCTTTTGCCATATCCGCTCGCACAGCAGCTGAAAGTGTAAGAAATTGAAATTTAATAAGCAGAGGGCAACGTCCGATCGGAGACAACTCACCAAGCTGCTCGTCAAAAAACCCCAAGGATGATCGGATGCCGTCACTAAATACTTTGACGATCTGCTCTTTGATCAACCGTGTAACCAGGGGTCGGAATGCCTTGTATAAGAAATCATGATTGCTCTACAATTGCAAGGATTGCATATGAGCTTTCCCACACGAGAGGGCCAAGGAGTCATCGACTCACATCTCGGATAGTAAACTTCAGCCCTTCAACCTTCACTCGTACGTCTTTGACTTCAAAAACACCCTTTGCGATCGCCTTACCGTCACGGTCACGATCAACACCCGCCCCTGCATTAGCTAACTTCAGCTTGACAGTGATGCCCCTTCCGCCAACGAAAATATCCGCAAGGCCCTCGTCCCTGATTTTCCCCAGGCCAAGGGCAACCCCACTTTTTCTGCGATAATCAAAAGCCACGTCCCGCATGTCGGCTTGTATCCCACTCATCTTGAGTGTCACTTCCGTGCGGTGCTCATTCTTGGCTTTTTCAGCCATTGCATTAAAGGGGGTAAGCTTTGAATAATGTTTTGCCATGAGTTCAATGGTCCTGGTAGCGAAATGTATGAGATAATGAGGACGAAAGTGTGAATGAAGAGGTTATACTTTGGAAACAGGTTCGCCCCTTGAAGCGTCAAATTCTCAATGACAAGGTCAAGGTCCTCGTCGATATACTCGATCCTGGGGATAGGAATCACTCCGATTCTCCTCAACACTCCTGGTAGTATCACCGCTCGCATGTCTTCCCATAACTGTCACCATACCAATCAGTCCAGCGTGTCATACTATCTTTACACATGAGCTCACCAAGGATTTGAATACAAGGCCCCCTTGTTCGTCAAATAACAAGTCACGAACGAGTTTAGACCAGTCATCCGCAAACCGAACATGGAGAGGATCATCCATCCACGCACGGCTCCATGCCTGAGCGGCTTCGAGAAGTGTATCTGTATGCGCTTTGTATTTGTCTGTGAAGAAGAAGCGACCCGAAGCACGAAGCTTCTTAGCCTGAGATGTAAATCGCGTCGAGGTAATAAACCCAGGTTGGAGCAGTGTCTAAAGATTAAAAAAAACGTAGTTGGTTGTCAATGCTGTTCTTTATATTGGACAGTTAAAAACATGCCTTTGTCACAAAATCATCAACACGATCCCACCAATCTCTCATTTCTTCATCTCCTCTGGCATCATTCCACAGCACCTCCAACGCGCTTTGCACATCGCTCAAGCTTCTCCCACCGGCACCTCGCTCAGCGATTGTACGTAACTCTGAAACCGCCCTCGCAAGGATCGGATCGCCATTGAATAGATCGTTGGTGTGCGCGGCCCGCGATTTCGCAAGAGCACCAGCGGAGGAAAGATACCTTTGCAGCACGGTGAGGAACCAAGAGATAGAAGCCTGGTAAGAAGGCGTAGATTGGCACTCGGTAACTACCTAAAGTAATAGGATCAGGGACAATTCAGGGTCGATGAGTTCTCATTCACCTTCTTCAAGCGCCAAATAAATTGGTCACGTCGTTCCTGAGGAAACTCATCATTAAGGTATGTCTTGGCGTGGTTTAGCCTCTCTTCTGCATGTGCACGCCGGTGAGCCGGGACACGGCCTGCCAATGTTTTAAAGCGGCTCTTCAGGTCCAGGTGAAAATGTGTCTTCGGGGAGACGCCGTTGGCCGCTCTATCCGTACGCTCCGAGGGGGTCAGGTTCGCGCTGTCCGCTACTTCCGTTTCGACCCATTCGTCTCGTGCCTGACGATGAGAATTAACACGATCACGATGGTCAAGGTTGTTTGGTTCGAGGGCCGTGTGTCCCGGCGCGGGCGCAGTCCCCGGCTGATTCTCCTCTTCTCCGTCATTCGAAAAGGGGGCCCAATCCTCTGCGGGAGCTGTATAATCGATGCCATCCATCTCCGCTGCGCTCGGCCGCGTCCGCTCTGCAGCAGCAACTGCGGTCTGCGCGAATAAGTCCCGCAAGATAATTTTGCTGTCGCTGATCAGCTTTCGGGCTTCGCGGTTCCTAATAAGGATTCCTAGAAGGGTGCGAAGGTGATGTACAGCTTCGAAAATCGCATGAATATGTACCGTGAAAGGGGGCGATAATTAAGGACACACCTGTCTCCTTATGTTCACGCACTTCGTCTACCGAGACTGGCAATTCCACACCAAGAGCTGACGCTGAGACATTCGTGTTGAACGTATGATAAATAAAATCCTGGGCGACCTCATCGGCATTCTTCTGTCTTATAAACTGGCGCGTCTACAAAAGAGCAAAATATATCGTAACGTCAGGGCGGCTGGCAGTACATACATTACACTACAACTCACAGTCTCGACAATGTCTCGAATATCGAGAACGACTGCCCTACCCTCCTCACTCAATGGAACGAACGTATCTTTATCATCGCCACCCGGGAGCGATTCGGGGGATTCTGTCCGTCGCGTCAACATATCACGGAAGACCACAAGGGCGTTATCCAGCTGCGTATTCCCGGGCAGCCGTCCACGCCTGAAGGCCTGGACCATGCCATAGATTCGCAATTTCCGCACGACATCATCGTTCTCGGGGTCGGAAGGCGACGCCACCGCATCAGACGCGTCTTCATATCGTTGCTTCGCATGAGTGCACTTTTGAGGGTGTGAAATTCTCAATCAACACACCTGCTTGCGGTTTCTCCATGCTTGGTTTCTGAAGAGACGGAAGGACCATGGGTAAGTCACAGCGCCTGCTGTTGGTTGGTGGCGTTGATCAAAGTGACTTCGCCAAGGCTATCCAGCGTCTTGTCGCTTGAGCAATCTCTTCACGATGCCCAGAGCACGCTGAAGCGTCGACCAAGTCATAGAAGGGCTGGGTATACCTTACACACGGTGTCTAATGGGAATAGAAAATCAGGCTGCAACAGTCTCACGTGATTTCTCGTTTTGGAATGTAATGATAGGAGGTTATACAAGACTAAAAGACCATTTTTTTATGAAGTGCCCATCGATTAGTGGTTAAATCACTTCGTTGTGGCCCTGTCAGCTCCGAAGAGCCCCGCGTTCGACTCGCGGTGGGCACACTTTTGTAGATAGATAGTCATTGAATACAAATAAACATCCAACACAAAATTGTCTTATCGCTTGTGACACATTTGTGCGCATCCAAGCCGTTTTAGTAACTTCTTTTTGTATTCGTCTGATGCACCACCATCATGACACCAGTCATTGAGATCTCGATGCCCATTCCAATGTTATCGCAGCCCGATGTTTGGGATCTCAGCGTTCCACCGAGCAGCAGAACGTATATATCCCGAATACTCTTGCGGTTCAGAGCGTCCGATGCAATTAGGGTGCAATTGATCGACTTACATAGCACTATGTGGCCTTCGATCTATCACGGTCAGGAACGCTGGCCAACACTGGCCATCTGATGCCCGGAGATCCCCACAATGCCCCTAGGTGCTTTTGCTCCGGACACGCCTGCATATCAAGTTCACCCAATCACAATAAAAGTTGCTATGTGTAAAGATGCTTCTAGACATGTCCTGGGAGTCAACGAGGATGCCGCGGAATGTGCTGACTATAATTATGTGTGATTAAAGAATCTGGGTTAACGCTCAGGAAAGAGCCATTGATCTTGGACAGTGTATTGAATGTGGGAGCGTAATGAGCATGGGAGAAGGGAATGCAGAGATGAAACATGAGCAGCTAAACAAGCGTACGAGATTTTGGCTACAGTGCCGTACGGCCGGCCCGGGTGGGAGGCGCGAGGGCTGGGACTGAGAAATGCATGTTACACAACTCCACAATTGCGTATTGTGACCTGTGCGGATGGTTTGCGCGAAATGTGGTCCGAAGCGTAGGACTGGATCTTGTGCACGATGTTGAGACCTTCCAAGACCTCGCCGAAGACAACGTAACGTCGATCGAGCCATGGACACGGACAGCTCGTAATGTAAAACTGGCAAAATAATCGCACATAGTCCTGTGCAGAGAACAAGAGAAGACGTACCTGGGAGCTGTTGGAATTCGGGCCGCGGTTCGCACTGGCAAGAAGACCTGGCTTGTAGTGTTGAACTCGAAACGATTCATCTGGGCATAGGTCAGCAGACCGTTGCTATTCCAGAACAGGGAAAAAAAGAGAACGACGAACCGGAGAATGGTCGGCTGTATATACTTCTACCCCCAGTGCCGTCACCATTCACAATGTCCCCTCCTATTGGCAGAAGAGAGTCAAGTCGGGCATGACTGGATGTACTGAGACACAAACCTTGCACCATAAACTGCGAAAGGCTGGGTGTCGGCTTCACAACAAAGAGAATCGAAAACAAGGCACGCACATCAGCAACCCGGTGGAATATCGACCCCTTGTACCCGAATCCATTTTGGCCAGTTGCTAGTTCTCGAAAATTGCGCGAGGTCTTGGGGGCGATATCATCCTGCACAAAAAAAAAAGGTTTAAGAAATGCATGGCAGGAACACAAAATAACGACAAAGCCATACGTAGAGCCGGAGTACAATGCGTCCTACATACTCGCTATTGATTTCAATGTCCATCTGCGCGGTCCGCCGGATTGGCGGTCACAGTGAGTGAGAGTTGAAAGTGTGCCTGAGAGTGAATAAAGTGAATAACGGGAATAACTCACAAAAACATCTGATCTAAGCCAGAGATGATTAGTTTGCGACGGGAGCAGACCTGGCCAGACTCACAGGGAGGAGTCCATGAGACACTAGATAAAGTCAAACAAAGCAGTCGGTGTGGGGACAGAGGCGCGGAACAGGCGTACACACGGACCTTTTATACGAATGTGTTCAAGATCAGCAATTCCACATCTTCGTGGTCTGGGAACCATGGTCGTAAGGACACGCTGAAGGCGGTAATTCGCGATCGGCTTGTACCGAGGCGAGGCGGACACAGTGGACGGAACATACCGAGTTCATTAGCTCCGCCTGAGGCCTCCATTGACTCATTACACTGCCTGAGAACGGGCCACGCTTCTCTCCAGTTCTCTGTGCATCGATATTCCGGTTCTGTCGCGCATTCTGCGTCTTGAAACGCGTCCAAGCTGCAGAACAACTGCTCCAAGCGCGTCGGAACTTCCTCCACTGGGGCTGCCATGAGGGCCACTTCTCTGGTCATTAAGATTCAATCTCAGAACGGCACACAACGCTGCCCCTTCAGATCCATCTCCTCTTCTTGATGCTCTGCAGCGCTCCTAAGTGCGTCCAAATTCCAAGTCAGGGTCGGGCTTTGCCGACGGACGACGCCGTCGCTTGCTTACCGACGTAATTGAACGTATTTTCTGCTGCAGCGTGCGCGGGTCCGCTGCGGGGTGCATGCGGCTTTGCTGCGACACGCCTGCATGATACGCATGAACATATGAATGTCTTACCAAATCCATATCCACCCTACTTACAGCCACAGTTCCGCCGGTTCCTGCTTCTTATGTTTTTCGACTGCATGTACACCTCGAATCGCTTCAGCCAACTCGCAAGATGGACGTTGACTCAGCACGTACCTTGGTTATCGACTATCATCATCAGGCCAGTCGCGGGAGACTCGTGCATGCATGGACGACGCGACGTAGCGCGACGTCCCACTGCCTCGGTGATATGTCGGCTAGCTTGACGGAGAACTACAAAGCTTCTTTCAACCACTTTCTCCGTCTCCACCTTCGATCATCTTACTTACTGATCGTACCGCATCACGTCTCTGCGGCACTGCATGGTCTCCCCGTGTGGTTCCGTGAATATGGCTTCAGCGCAAGTCCGCCAGACAGGCTCAGATTTGCCCAACAATTACCCCCTGTGCTATTTGACTTCGCAGCGTCGTGTAAAACACATGACAAAGCCTCGAAGCACGCCGTGGCTGCACAGTGTTCCTGTGAATCGAGGGTTGGCGTAGGTATTAGCCGGGGTTCCATAGTCCCTTCCGTCGCGATGGCGTCCCAGACGTTCATTTCAGAGTTGTTCTCGTCGACTAACACAAGCTCTTTAAGCGTCGCCGACTTGTCGCCGTTCGGTAAGTGCTTAACATATTCGACGCGTGACGTAATCCTGACGATGCAGTGTATATACAAAGGCAAACCGTACAAAATCCCCCGAAGCGTTCGGAACCATTCCCACTGGCAGCAAGTCGTGGTAAACTCCGACTCGAGGAGATCCCCAAATGCATGCATTCAACTGCGCTGAATTATGCCGTGTTCATTGTGCTGCCTCGTTCCATTCACAAATGAAATGTCACTATTAACGGCTTCCAGGTGAATCGCCGTGATTGGGGTCCTAATGTTACGAGCGCGCTCACTCGTAAGAAAACAACAACTTCTGATCATCTTCCTCCCGCGGGGAGGAGATTGCGCCGCACCACCACCAGCAGCTACTCGAGTTCCGCGTCTCCCCTGGCCCTGAGGCCCTTCGACGGTTTCAATTTTGGGGCTCTCACGCCAGTGAAAACTTTCCGGGTTGCGCTGTCATTCCCGAAGCTTTCGAGAGGTGAAGCCTGTGCCGCCGGTGCATCCGTTTAGCCTGTTGTCTCGAAGCCGTTACGTCATGGTTCTCAAAAGTCAATATCTTTGGTGATGAAGTTCGCGGTCGACGAAGTAGCTTGGCGAGATTGAGTGAGTAACAATGTCCTGTTGTTCCTAGGCGCAAACACGCACGGCGTAATTGCGTGCGCGATATTGACCAATTCCGTGTGTCATTTGTATATATAGAGAGTGATGTTAAGATGCGGGGCTTCCATGCATAATGAAGATGTTCTTCTCGTGCCTACCGTGCGCCTACAAGGGAAAACAATATTCATGCCAAGCGAAAGTGGCTGGGAATACAAATAGAAATTACCGCATGTCTAATATGTCTATCATGAGAGCAAATGTCGTCAAACAAAAAGTGTGCCCACCGCGAGTCGAACGCGGGGCTCTTCGGAGCTGCTACCACAACGAAGTGATTTAACCACTAATCGATGGGCACCTCAATTTTCAATGATCCCTATTACCCGCCGTATATGACTTGTCTCTGACTGTCCTGTCCCAATGATATCACGTGACCCTTTCAAGTTTTACCAATTCTGCAAGTTGCAGCCTGTTCGCGTCAAAGGGAGTCATTTGGTAGAGTTGTGGAGAGTTTAAGGCATGGATGCACTTATATCACGAGCAGACGGCATCCGGCCTATCACTAAAAAACACAAGTCCTCGCTTTCATTGTCGCGGTCGCATAATGCTTTCAAGTCTCACCCAGCCACATCCCGTGGCCCAAAAACCCAAAAACACACACATAAGAAACCTCGCAAAGACATAGATACAGCCCCTGATGCGACGGTCTCGTCAGTAGCCAGACGAACAACTATCCCATCCTCCTTGTTGCCGCCTCCTGATCCCTCAACCAAGGGCAAACAAAAGAAAGAGGAAAAAGATGGGTTTGCTTATATTCAGGATCGAAAGCTGAAGGCTCGTTTGAATATGCAGCGATCGCTGGCTGCTGCGAGGTCAACGCAGGTCTCGGATGCAGAGTTGCTTCTGACCACTTCTGCGGGCCATGTCGAGGCAACCGATCCTCTTGAGCGCACTTGGAGGGTGACACAGAAGGAGCTGCTCGAAGATGATGGAGTCGGGCGGGACGCGGCTGCGGGGCGGAGAGAACTTGTGCTGGATGATGGAGGGGGAGGAGGATTCAAAACGCGTTGGACTAGGAATGGACGGCATACTGTCATGGTTGGAAGAAGGGGGCATCTTGCGAGCGTAGACTGGATGACGGGTGATATTCATGCTGAAATACAACTCAAAGAGACTTGCAGAGACGTAACGTGAGTGCCCTTCGTTTCATTAATACTCCTACCTGATTTTTTGTCGGCCATCTCAGATATTTACACTCACATCACCACGTTGCCGTTGCACAATCTCGGCATGCTTTCATCTACGACCAGAATTTGGTCGAGCTGCACCGACTCTCTGCCTTAATAGAACCCGCGTATCTAGAATTTTTACCTTACCATTGGCTTCTCGTTTGCGCGGTATGTAACATGATATTATTTTCCCGTGTTGTGTCGTTGGTAAATATTTGAGATAGGGCTTGCCTGGAACTT